ATCGTTTAAAGCTCATACTCCACCATCAACTGTTGCGAGTCTCTCCATCACCATCGTGAGGACCTTGACTCGATTAAGAACTTGTGAGTTGTTTTTTGTGTTAAAATATTAATGCCTCTCGTTGATTGATCTGGAAGCTTCTAGGGATATAAAGATGAAGAAAGATTGTGATCTCATTTTATGATGGACCTTAAATATGCATGCTGAAGCGTAGCTTGAATGTTGAATGAACAAGTTTAACCATATTATGTCATTTTTTATCTCTTGATCTCGGCCACACATGATACGCGTACATGGATTTTTGTCTATTTTGTTTGTTGCCTGTGCCATTTGGAGACCACACATTTAATCTGAGTGCATGAGTTTTTGTCTTATCGTTAGGTGTTGTCTTCGTGATATGTGATAGATTTAATTAGCGTAAAATATCTTCATGAAGTTATCAAAGACATCAAGTGCTGAAGACACGAGTCAATAATATGCTTAAATAGTATCGCGTCTTTAGGTTCTCGCGGAATATTTTATTTTGATTTGTACCTCTGAAAACCTACGAGGTGATTGTTGCCATTTCTCAACTCATTTTCTTTTTATAATAATCATGTTAGCTTAACACTTGGTCTTTTATTTATTATATTATGATATGATGAAAATAATGTTTTAATATGATAGATTAGTAAACCTCAATTTCTTTGATCCATGCCCTCTGCACCTAATATTTCTTTACACGATGCTATATAATTTGTCTTGCTATGCATTATACTAATGAATAAAAATGGAAGTAGCAAATTTCAACTTTTGGTCTATATACCTATATATTCAAGACGCAGACGTTACCTTTTTTTTCCTTCACCCAATGGGTGCAGCTCAGTTGGTAACTTGGCGCTGAGTTAGTGGGGTTAGACATGTGTTCGGTTCCTGCTGAATGCATTCTTGGGGAGGGGGCTGAACCTTTAGCCATCACTGATCCCCCGCACTCCGGATTAGTCCCATAGCCGGCTCAAAGAGTCGAAGCTCGTGGGGATACCGGAGGGAGCCAACTCGCCTCAAAGAGGTAATTAGGGTTGGGTAACTCCAAAAAAAAAAACCTTTTTTTTCCTTCCGTTTTTTTCTTCATTTTTTTTTTTTACGTTACACAAGTGATGACCCAAAACCCGTTTAGATTTTATCAATATTTTTCTAAATAAAAAATTATCATATTAAAATTAGAGACGTAAGTTAACCGTGATAGTTTGTTAACCCTGTGAACTTTGTTTTGATTCATTTTGGTCGTGACGGCTTGGTGATTTGAAATTTATCTGAAAATTATAATAATAAAAAATAATAATTTCAAATCTAATTTTTCTAAAAAAAGGGATTAGCTGAGTTGAGACAGCTTGTTAATCCCATAATCTTTTGATTCATTTTGGTCGTGACGGCTTGGTGATTCAAAACTTATCTAAAAATCATAATAATAATGAAATAATAATTTCAAATCTATTTTAAAAAAGAGGGATTAGCTGAGTTGAAACAGCTTGTTAATCCCATAATCTTTTGAATCATTTTAACCGTGACGGTTTGGTGATTCAAAATTTACAATAACAACAAATTACTTAAATAAATATAGATCATCAAATCCAAAACTTTCTACTGAATTTCTCTAAAATTGTTTTTTTTTAAATTAAAATCAATCAACACACAAATATTTTCTAAAGAACGACGTAGCTTTGAATTCCTCACTGTACCGGAGGATATGTCGGAGCGGAACTCTTTTCCGTCAAGCTAAAATAAAATTTTAATATTTAGTCTTTCTACTCCCTAAACAATCATATTTATTTTAAAGGGATAAAGCAAACAATTTTAAAAGCTATTAATAACTCGCACAATTAATTCAAGGTAACCGTTTTTAAACGGATGTGTCAAGGGTGCAGTGGGATTAAGTTTCCACCCTTCCTTGCGTATAATTAGAATCCCGAACCTTTGATTTATAATTTTTAAGACCAGTTTGCAAATAAAGGTTTTCCAATTTTTCCAAAGTAAATAAAATTGGTGGTGACTCCATTGTTTTAATTTTTTTAATTTCGGGTCGTTACAGTTATCCTACCGGTTACAAGGGCTACAAACTTATGGACTTGGCCTCCAATAAAACTTTCATCTCTCGCGATGTCCATTTTTTTGAGCATATTTTTCCTTTTGCTCTCCATCATACACCTACATCCTTTCATACTGAATTCTCCCAACTACCTCCACATTTTCCTATCCCTGCATCTATCCCAGAACCCCACTATTCTTCTAGACCTTCATGGACTAGACAACCCCCAGCCCACCTTTCTGATTATTTTTGCTCTTCTTCTACCACTCATCCTTTATCTCATTTTATTTCTTTTGACGAACTTTCTTCATCACATGCTGCTTTTGTTAATTCTTTATCCTCACATTTTGAACCTGCTACTTATTCTCAAGCTTCCCAGTTACTGAAATGGCAGGCTGCCATGGCATCTGAGCTTTCAGCTCTTGAAAATAATTCTACTTGGTCTGTTGTGTCTCTTCCTCCGGGCAAGCAGGCTGTTGGCTGTAGGTGGGTTTACAAAGTGAAGTATCATTCAAATGGTTCTCTTGAAAGGTATAAGGCCCGTCTAGTTGCTAAGGGTTTTAATCAACAAGAGGGGATTGATTTTCTGGAGACTTTTCCCCCAGTAGCCAAAATAACCACTGTCCGTGTTCTTCTTGCCTTGGCTGTTGTTCGTAACTGGTCCCTTACCCAATTGGACGTCAACAATCCTTTTCTTCACGGTGAGTTGCTTGAAGAGGATTATATGACTCTCCCCCTTGTTATTCATCTTCTCATTCTGCTTTACCTCCCAGTGCTGTTTGCAAATTGCACAAGTCAATTATGGTCTTCGTCAAGCTTCACGACAATGGTTTGCCAGGTTTTCTACTGCCTTATTGCACCTTGGTTTTTCCCAATCTCAGTCTGATCATTCATTATTTGTTCGGTCTTCCTCATCTGCCTTTATTGCTGTCTTGGCTTACGTGGACGACATTATCATTGCTTCTAATAATTATTCAGAAGTCCAGCTCCTTACTCAATCTTTACACAGCCAGTTTAAGTTGAAGAATCTTGGTGAGTTAAAATATTTTTTGGGTCTCGAAGTTACCCGAAGCAAGAGGGGCATATCTGTTTGTCAAAGGCACTATGCTTTAAAAATTCTTAAAGACTCTGGTCATTTGGGTTGTAAGCCACGTTCTACCCCTATTGCCGTCGGTTTAAAACTTTCTTCTGAAACTGGTGATTTGATTACTGATCCTTCTGTTTATAGACGTCTTATTGGTCGTCTTCTTTATCTTACTATTACTAGACCTGATCTCTCCTACACTGTTAATCATCTTAGCCAATTTATGGCTGCTCCACGGGTTCCTCATCTTCAGGCTGCATATCATTTTCTTGGATACATTAAAAATACCATTGGCCAAGGTTTATTTTATTCTTCCACTGCTTTCTTCAGTTGAATGCATTCTGTGATTCTGACTGGGCTACCTGCCATGATAGTGGTCGTTCTATATCTGGATTTTGTGTTTTTATTGGTGATTCTTTGGTTTCTTGGAAATCCAAGAAGCAGCATACCGTGTCCAGATCTTCTACTGAGGCTGAATATCTTTCTATGGCTCATGTTACTTGTGAATTATTGTGGTTATTCTCTTTGTTTAAGGATCTGCATTTTTCTCATTCTGGACCTGCTCATCTTTTCTGTGATAACAAATCTGCATTACATTTGGCAGCTAATCCAGTATTTCATGAACGCACCAAACACATTGAGATAGACTGCCATCTTGTTCGTGAGCATATTATCAAAGGTCACTTGAAGACTTTTCCAGTTCCATCATCCAGACAGCTTGCTGATCTATTCACCAAAGTCTTGTTGCCATCCCAGTTTTTTGCATTACTATCCAAGATGGGTGTTCTAAACATCTACTCTCCATCTTGAGGGGGACTATTAGCATATTAGTATTTTTCTTATTTTTATTTCTTATGTAATTAAACGTTGCTGATGTGTATTTGTTTTCTGTTTGCACCTGCTATGCGTGTAAGTTTGTTAGGCACCTCCTGAGTGCGTGTCATTCTGTTAGACACTTTGTGTGCACCCTTAGGCACCTCCTTCTGTTACGTTTGTTTTTGATATGGCTATATATGTACAACCATTTGTACTCCTTTTTTTATTAGAATATGCAATACAAAGAAATGATGAATATTCAGATTTGTTTTTCTGCCAATAATCTCAATTATGCACTATGCAAAAAAATTTGATTTGATAGTTAAAGATGTCATTTACCGAACCTAAAACACCAATATAACAAGCATTATGTGTTTATTTGATTTTTTATTGGACAATAATGTATAATTTATTATTTTTTATATTAAAATATTTAGAATTTATATTATTTTTTTCAACTATTTGAGTATATTTATAATTTTTTATTATAAATTATAGATTTATATATAATCACCGGATCATGCGGTTCAACCAGTGGGGGGTCACTGGTTGAGCTAGTGACTCAGTACCTCGACTGAGTCATTCACCGGACCAGTTTTAATAACATTGGGCAGAATAACCCATCCCTATTCTTCCATGTTTATAAGTTTCAGTTCGCAAATATTTTTTTGGATCCCTTTTTTGTCATGTTGTAGAAAAATTTATTTCTCCTATTATAGACACGATGTGATGGATCTAACCACCTATTAAAAAAAAAATTAAAAAAATTGTTGCACCTTTCTATCTGTCTTGCTAGTAGGAGAAAGAATCCCTATGCAACATGATAATTTTTTTCCTTGTATTCTTTTTAAATTTTAAGATAAAATATTTTATATTTAGTATTAAAAAAAAGCATGTTAAAGTTGTTCGTGAAAAATTGACTTTCCATTTCCAACAAAACAAAATAACATTGGCATAGTTGGGTTTCCTCGCCACTCACTTCCTTCCTTGTCTCCACTCTTGCAATCTCCCACCGCCATAAAACACTTGAAATACATGTCACACTCCTTTTCCTTTTCTTCTTCTAACCACTACTGTGCATTGCTCAAAGTTTGCTGCGAAACCCGCAACCGCACCAACGCAAAGAAGCTCCACTGTCACATAATCAAGGCCTTCCGAAACCCAGAAACTTTTCTCTTAAACAACATCGTCAGTTCCTATGCCAAACTCGACAGCATCACCTATGCCCGCAGGGTGTTCGACCAAATGCCCCAACCAAATCTATACTCTTGGAACACCATTCTCTCTGCGTATTCCAAACTGGGTCGTGTTCATGAGATGGAACATGTGTTTGATGCAATGCCAAGCCGAGATGGGGTGTCGTGGAATTCACTTATTTCAGGGTATGCTGGTTGTGGTTCCCTTGTTCAGTCAGTGAAGGCTTATAATTTGATGTTAACTGATGGGTTATTCAATTTGAATCGGATTACTTTCTCGACTATGCTTATACTTGCATCCAATCTGGGTTGTGCTCATTTGGGTAGACAAATTCATGGGCATGTAGTGAAATTCGGTTTTCGGTCATATGTTTTTGTGGGAAGTCCTTTGGTGGATATGTACTCGAAAATGGGACTGATATCTTGCGCAATGCAGGCTTTTGATGAGATGCCTGAGAAGAATATAGTTATGTATAATACATTGATCACAGGGCTTATGCGATGTGGTAGGATTGAAGATTCACGCCAATTATTTTATGATATGCAAGTAAGGGATTCAATTTCTTGGACAACAATGATTGCAGGATTTACTCAGAATGGTTTGTACAGAAAAGCGATTGATTTGTTCAGAGAGATGAGATTGGAAAAGCTAGAGATGGATCAGTACACATTTGGAAGTGTGTTAACTGCTTGTGGTGGTATTATGGCTTTGCAAGAAGGTAAGCAAGTTCATGCTTATATAATTAGGACAGATTATAAGGATAATATATATGTTGGAAGTGCTCTTGTTGACATGTATTGCAAGTGTAAGAATATAAAATCAGCAGAAACAGTTTTCAAGAAGATGACTTGCAAGAATGTTGTATCTTGGACTGCAATGTTAGTGGGTTATGGACAAAATGGTTATAGTGAAGAAGCTGTTAAAATTTTTTCTTATATGCAAAAATATGGGATTGAGCCAGATGATTTCACCCTTGGGAGTGTAATTAGCTCATGTGCAAACCTTGCAAGCCTAGAAGAGGGTGCCCAATTCCATGGTAGAGCTCTGGTTACTGGCCTAATTTCTTTCATTACTGTTTCCAATGCTCTGGTTACATTATATGGTAAATGTGGGAGCATTGAAGACTCCCATAGACTTTTTAGCGAAATGAGCTTCAGGGATGAAGTCTCATGGACTGCACTTGTTTCTGGGTACGCCCAGTTTGGTAAAGCCAATGAAACAATCAGGTTATTTGAAAGCATGTTAACGAAAGGTTTAAAACCTGACAAGGTTACTTTTATTGGGGTTCTTTCAGCTTGCAGTAGAGCAGGATTAGTAGAGAAAGGAAATACAATATTTGAATCGATGACTAAGGAACATGGGGTTGTACCAATTCATGATCATTACACCTGCATGATTGACCTCTTCAGTCGAGCTGGGAAGTTAGAAGAAGCGAGGAATTTTATAAATAAGATGCCTTTCAGTCCTGACGCAATTGGTTGGGCAACCTTATTAAGTTCATGTAGATTCTATGGGAACATGGAAATTGGCAAGTGGGCAGCTGAGTTTCTTCTGGAATTAGAACCACATAACACTGCTAGCTACATCTTACTTTCAAGCATTTATGCAGCTAAAGGAAAATGGGAAGAAGTTGCCAAATTAAGAAAAGGGATGAGAGATAAGGGTCTGAGAAAGGAACCAGGATGTAGCTGGATCAAGTATAAGAATCAAGTGCACATTTTCTCTGCTGATGATCAGTCGAACCCATTTTCAGATCAGATATATTCTGAGCTCGATAAGTTGAACTACAAAATGATACAAGAGGGATATGTGCCTGATATGAATTCTGTTCTCCATGATGTTGAGGATTCAGAGAAAATAAAGATGCTTAGTCACCACAGTGAAAAGCTTGCCATTGCATTTGGGTTGATATTTATTCCTCCTGGTCTACCCATACGAGTAGTTAAAAATCTGAGGGTTTGTGGGGATTGCCACAATGCAACTAAGTATATATCTAAGATCACTCAGAGGGAGATTCTTGTGAGAGATGCTGCCCGGTTCCATTTGTTTAAAGATGGAATGTGTTCATGCGGAGACTTTTGGTGACAGGTCCAGTTGTTATCTTCTTAAATGTCTAAAGCCAGTAGAAGACTATTTCAAAAAATGATGACTAAACACAGGATTTAATGTGATCACTTTCTTCAAAAAGTGAGTGTAATTACCGCATGTGCAATGCATTTGGTTAGGCCATCATATAGTTCTCTAACAACTTGAACCAAATTACAGACAGTGATCCCCACTCCCCACTGACTTATCGTTGTTGACTCTTAACCACCAATGAATGTATGACCATGTTTGAAGTCATTGCACTAGGGGAGGCATCTACCATATCTATTAAAATTATTTACCATACCCTGCTAATTCTTGCTTTGTATAGTAGGGCACCTTTTCGGCCTCTAGCCCCATTACCTATTACATAGTAAATAATTATCCATTACTAATTTTAATAATTTTTTAAAAATTAATAATAAAGTAGCATCTTTAAAAAAATGCGTGTTGGACATAGACGTGTTCCAACACGACGTCCGATATGCGGTCAACGCTTTGACACGTGTCCGACACGTGATCAATGTCTTTTGACACATTGTCAACGTTCATGTAGATCCAATTTTTATTTTACTTTATCATTTTAACTAAATATGAAAAATGAATTTATAAATCAAATATTTTCTGTTATGGAATTTGACATAAAAAATTAACAAGGTATAAAAAATTATTTTTGCTTTATATTTATGTTATAGAATTTTAATATTCAATTAGTTATATGACTTATTATGAGCTGTTATATATATTAAATGTAAATTATATTGTATATATTAAAAATATTATTTAATATCAAAATGTTTTATAACGTGTCGAAATTTAACAATTTTTAGAATTAACGTGTTAGCATATCGTATTGTATCTCGTGTCGATGTCGATGCAACATATTGTAATCATAACCTTCATTATGCAAATTGTATCATCTGATCAATTCGTTTTTCATGCAAAAATAAACACTCCATTGAATAATACAGTTATATTAGCCATTGTTGACAAATGTTACATTTACTATAAAAAAAAAGCTGAATTTGATAGCAAATTAACAATAAATTTAAGTTGAGAATAATTTCTTTGTAGCAAAATATTGGACCATTTGGCTTAATGCCTTTAACTCGTTTCAAGCTTTTAGTGATGTGAATTGTTGATTTGTTATATTTGGAATAAGATACTGTTATAACCTAATTCACAGTTCACGATTATTGTAAATTAAATCAAATATTGTTTTATTATTTAAGTTATTTTCAAACTATGATTTCTTTAATCTTTGTTCGGTCCGGGTGAATTAGGTATGTTCATTGGGTAGGTGATAGCTCAATATAGAATATATACGCTCACAAATATCTATGAGAGATATTCTGTAAAGGTGTATCGACCACTGTGCACTAAACAATAGGCGTATAGGCATAGGTGTGTGTGCACGATGATGACAAAAGTAAAATGAGCCAAAAAGTTGTTGGGCTTCCTCCTTCAATGCTAAGCCCAGGCCCATTGAGAGATTTCATAAAAATCCTAAATCCTAGATTCCACCTCCTCTATATATCCATAGTTGTGGGTGGAAGCTAGGTTAGAATTAGAGAGAAAAAGAAAAGAAGAAAATTATTGAGAGATTTATGAGCAAAGCTTTGAGTTTTGTATTTGAGAGACTTCCAGAGAGAGTTTGAGTGAAACACCTCTAGGGAAGTTTGATTATCACCATTGTTGGAGAGGTTGAGTTAACCACCACTTTGGTGAATCTTGATTCTTTGTACCTATTATTTTCATAGTGGACGTTTAAACTGGACTAGGTCCCGTGGGTTTTTACTTCTTCATTGGAGAAGGTTTTCCCACGTTAAAAATCTGTTTGTGTTCTCTTTTTCTCTCTCCCCTTTGTATTTTTGTTTTTCCATTGCGCTGCCCGACTTGGTGAAATTAGGGCCGAGGTAAGATTTCCGAGATCCGAGATCCAGGATCTTGTTGATTGACTTCCGCGAAAAGGCTTCTTATCCGAGTTGAGGGAACCGAGTTCCTAACAGGGGTATCAGAGCCCGGGTTCGACGGGTTCTGAGGGAGACGAGATGGAGACCAGTGGTACAACCCATGATGGAGATATGTTCAAGCTGACCGCATACAATTTCACCTATTGGAGACTGATGATGGAAGATCAACTCTACTGCAAAGATTTACATGAGCCTATTATCCTTGATGAGAGACCAGCAGATAAAACTGATAAGGAGTGGGAGATCCTGAGTCGTAAGGCGGTAACTACAATCAGAAAATACATTGACAAAAGCCTCTTTGAGCATGTGTCGGAGTTAACAAACACGTATGAGTTGTGGACGAAGCTGGAGTCCATGATTCAGAAGAAGACTCCCAAGAACAAAGCACACCCGGTTCGCCGACTTGTGAAGCTGGAATACAAGGACGGCATGAGCATGATTGAACACCTCAACACCTATAAATGTATTGTTAATTGTAACACCCCGCATATATCCGGCAATGTTATCATAATATCGTATTAAGCTGCGCTTAATTAAAAAAAAATGCGGAATTACTTTTTCTTTTCAATTATGATGCCATTAACATTACCAGCTTGCTTAATAATCAATTAATAAAACATCGCCTGTATGTAATTGCAATAAAACAGCTAACTGAAATACCTCATAACATAGATAATATAAGTGTGGCTCTAGTCACGGAACTACAACAACGTAGACCGGACCATCTAACAGTTTATACAACTCCAAACTAAAAGTACTAACAGAAAGTGTCATGGACAATTCCCATGCTCACTCAAATAAGGCAACATGCCCAACATCAGTCTCAACAACAACATATCATAAATAGCGAAAAACATAAACAGCATCCAAATCCAATCATGCTAACAACTAAGCATAAACAACAAAATCAGCTAAGCTCCGGCCTCCCGCCGCCTGAGGCATCAGTACCCATACTACCTGATCCTGAAATAAGCATTCCCCAAACGTGGGGTAAGATCTCTAATCTAGAAATCTCAGTAAGTCAGTGAGTCCTCAAGGATCTTCCACCCCAAGCTCACTTACATGTGCAATATAAGTTCAAAAGCAGTTTGTCATTTATCATTTCAAAACAATGCAATGCAGCAGATAATCATGCCATGTGTGTCAATACTAATCTACTGGCCAGAGACAGTGCAGGTATACGTCTATCACCTACACACCGTGCAAGTACCACTTGCATTCACCCCGGTACACCGTCTTGTATGGCGCTACATACTCAGGCTTCCCGTCAAGATGAAACAACACATGCATATTAAAAGCCATTACATGTAAAGTTCAATCAACATATCAAATATCCAAAAGCATGTACACAACATGCATAAACCATACCCCCATGGGACATGGTGGAACCACAACATGGCTAAACCGAGGACACAAAAGCTTACCTTGCAAGCTAACTCCAAAAGCCAAGAGTCCACAGCTCAAAGTCCAAACACAGCAGATTCACAATCTGTTATGGACCAACAAGACATCAACAACATGCACCACAAGCATACAATATTAAGACAACGCCTTTTCATTACGTTTTCAAGTCTTAAAGCTTCTAACAAAGCCACAAGCCCTTAATCCCATGATTCTGGCTTAGTCCATTAAATACAGAAGTTCAACTTCATCAATCTAGGGTCCACAAACCCCCAATAGCTTACTGTACACACAGCACAGCTACTGTTCTACGAAATCCCAGAATATCCGGATATTCCTCGGGACCATATCCGGATATGCAATATCCAGATATCTCACTGGACATATCCGGATATGCAATATCCGGATATCCAGAATCCCATATCCGGATATCTAGTATCCAGATATCCCCAAACCCCATATCCGAATACACATATCCGGATATCATATCCGGATATCCCATATCTGGATATTCCACGGGCCGATATCCGAATATTTCACGACAGAATGCAGTTTCTGCATTTTCGTGAAGATATCCTTCCAAGGTTGGGTTTTTACCGATTTTAAACACCTAAACATGCATTTCTAGGTGTGTTCAACATTACCCCACAACAAGTTATCATCTTTTGACCTTAACATGCATCAAGCTTTCATTTTTAAGCATTAAACTCAAGATCAAAGGTTGGTATACATACCAAAGGCTTAAAACAGAGAAGGAGATGCTCTTGGAGCTCAACACAGCCCCTCAAGTCTAACTCAAGAAAGATGCACGAAAATGGCTTCACAAGGGTTGGTTCTTCTCACCAAAGGTCACCACTTGGACCTCCAAAATGCCATAACTATGGCTTTCAGCAACCACACCACCCAAAACCAGCACTCTCACTCACACACAGAGGATGGAAACTCAGAATACACCCTCACACTTCCTCACCATGCATGTTCTTAAGTGTAAACAAGCTCAAAGAGGGAAGAAATCAAGTAAAGGTGACAACTTGAGTTCAAAAATGGTGAAAGGAGGCAATGGAACAGTAAACCACCCTCAGCCCACCAAATGCCTCATGTAGGAATTCTGGTATGCCTAGGGTTATGTGCTAAAATGCATATATATAGCCACTTAGCCATAAAACACACAGTATTAACTTTAATTGCTAAGCTTAGCATTTTAATCCCAAACTTTGGATTATGAAACTACATAATTTTCTAAGATTTATCATATTTTTCTTATAATTTTCTGAGCACTTTTCCGGTAGGCGCTTTTCCAAGCCAGTACCGATTTCCAGCACCAGTTCTCATTATCTGGACTTGAAACTCGTTTTACAAGTCCTACATATTATTCTAGTAATTATCATGCACTTACATTAATTTTCCGGGATACTTTTTCGGCACGCATTTATACCGACTAGCAGAATCGGTATCTGCACTTTTCTTCCGAAAAGCGACTTTCAGCATTCTTAATCACTTATTATGATTATTAAGCCTCATAAATAATTATTAGAGTCAATTATGGAATCATTTCCTATTTTCTCGTAATTTATTAATTAATACCTTAATTAACGGTGCAGGTTCTTACATTCACCCCACCTTTTTAGGATTTTGACCTCAAAATCAGAAACATACCTGGTCGAAACTCAGGGTACTGCCGGAGAAGCTCGTCCTCTCGCTCCCAAGTACACTCCTCAGGAGTCCTTCCGGTCCACTGCACCTTGACCATCAGAATGATCTTGCTCCTCAGCTGCTTCTCGCCACGATTGAGAATCTTTAGTGGTCCTACAG